TTTTTTTGCAACTTGAAATTTAAATAGTAATCCTCTATCCCACTAACAAAGAGACAATAGGGTGACACACAAACCAATAAAAAGTGGTTTATGTGGTTAATATTGAATTAATAAGGTAAAAATAAAGTAAGAATGATTTAAAGCCATACAAACTTTACCAAATTTGGTATGAGACAATCTTAGTGGGATGAACCGAAAAGGTAAAATGGGACGATCTTAGCAGGACAGAGAGTAACAGATAACCATATAAAATTTACATGTATATACTTGCATATTTCTCATAAATATGAGTGTTCATGTGAACATGTTGAAACAAGAGTGGCTCCACCGCTGCCTATTTAAGAATACTACGTAATAAACATAAATTCTTACTTGAACTTTGACAAGGTTTTAGTCGTAATTAAGACAATTTATTTTTTATGGACTTCTCAACTATGTAAATGTCCAACAATAACACCCAACCCATAAAATTTGATACTAACTCAATGCATATTTTATTATCAAGTATTACTAGATCTTGTGCCACTAAACTACTATACACTTCATTAAAGTGTCATACACTTCATTAACAATACTAGGGGCTACTAACTTGAGTTTTTTTCCGGATTAATGCTAATTAATTAAGTATTTACGGAAGTAATGTTGAGTTAAAACTATTTACCAATATACTGCTAGGCTTAACTCTGGTTGGGGAAAGTCGCCAGACCGTTTGACGACTTATAAGTCACCAAACCGGATGGCGACTTATAAGTCGCCAAACCGGATGGTGACTTATAAGTCGCCAAACCGTTTGGCGACTTTCCCCCTGGACCTGCACAACCAGAAACTGCAGAAAACATATGAAAACATAACACATTTTGACAAATCCTGGTCAGAAACACAAATTAAAAAACAAAAGCGTAAAACAATTCAACACATGAGTACATCAACACATTTGCATAACCCAACACATAAACACATAAAAAAACAAATGATTAAATAACTAAAATTCAATACTTTGCAGGTGGACATACGTCATAAAGTAAAGTGTTTCACATATTAAAAAAATCTACAAATCCGGACTACATGAATAAGTCCAATAATGGAGATAGACTACAAGTTTTGAAGGTCTTCTTGGTATTCCTAGTCATGAAGGTGTGGCTGTTGACGCATACGCCTACGCCGCTGACGTGGCTGAAGAACAACTTTGTCACGCTGAATTTGGGATGTAGAAGTTGTTGCTGCTGTAGATGTCGATGGCATAGAATCCTGAGACGGGGTTATATGTATAAGATGACCATAGTCCACTCGCCCCAACACATCCGAACACAAGGAAGCAATGCCTAATTGAACATGATGGTACGTGTCCACGTCATGCGTCTCACTAGCTATGGCAGTCGCTCGCTCATGTATATGCTGCAAAGCCCGTGTGTGAAATGTGAAAAATGAAATATAATTATTTTGAAATAAATTAAAAAAGTTAAATAAAGAACATGAATTACTTTAATAATTATGAGCACACTCACCGTCAAGTGCAAAGGCATGGAACTACGCTGATAATGGTGAGTAGTGAGTCTGAAAGATGGAGATACAAACACCCACGTGATGCTGTAATACCATCTCATATGGTCTGCAGAAATAGATGGGACAAATGTCGGCGTCTCAGTCACAACAAGTTCTGCTCGCCTATCCCATATAGCCACGTATCGAGCATGTCTGAGTGACCAATCCTCTGTAGGCTTCCCACGCCTATCCAGCTTATGAAGATCTACTAATGTGTCGACAGGTGCTGGAATGACCTGGTCAAAGCCAAATTGTCGCATAACACGATCAGGCAAATAAAGCTCAACAATGTCAAAGCATATCAACGGCACACGTGCTTTCCATATAGCATAATGCTCTCGTCCTGCCGGTGGTAACTCCTCTAATATCTGAGCTGTATATGGCATCCATGTAATCTGTTTTATAAGGATAAAGATTAGTCTTAATGTTATTCATATCATAGTTAATGTTATATTATGATATGAAACACATAGTTGATGATATGAAACCATAACAATGTAAGCTGTATACACCGTACCTGATCATCAGACATGCGATCAAATGCATCCCTATAGAAACCGAGACCAGAAGCCGATGATGTGTGATACAGGTCAGCAAATACCCATCTAACCATTCATGTAGTATATATTAATACAATTATAATTAATACAACTATATTATACTTACAATAACATGAATATAATCGAGTAAAACATACCGACGCCCCAGTGGATCCTCGTCCCGTCGATGATGTGGTCCAAGAAGATGTGGAGGCTGATCATGAAGTGGTTCTCCATCAGGCCCATGGTATCGTACTATAATGGGATGGCCAATGTGAATGTACTCCCATGACCAAATCTGCAATAGAAGCAGAAAACCCCCAACCTCCGTGCTCCCACTCTGACAACCGCGACACAGCTGCCTGTATAGATAAGCCAACGTGGCACTGCCCCAACTGAAGTGTGCAGCTACATCAAATCTCTCTAGTATCGGCAAGTGTAGCACCTGAACCTCATTTCCACTCTTGTCAGCAAAAATGGAAGCTCCCATAAGCATCAAAATGTATGCCCGTGCATGCTGCTGAATCATCACCTCATCAGCGTCCGGGTGAAGAACGGCGAAATGCTCCCTCAGCCATGACATCTTCAGAGATGACCCATGAATCTCTGTTCGAAGAAGTGGGTGAACACCCAACAAGCGCTCAACATCGTCAACCCATGGTCGACACACAGTACCTGTAACTGCTCTCCCATGGGCCTGTAACCCCGTCAATACAGCCACATCCCCAAGGTCACTGTCACATCACCAACTGGGAGGTGAAATGTGTGTGTCTCCTGCCTCCAACGCTCAAGAAGAGCAACGAGTAGCGCTCTATCAAGTGGGACAGTAGCCACCAATCTGTGAACACCATAAAAACCCGTTGCTCTAACATGTGCTAATACTCTATCATCCACCTGCACGTGGGACAAACTACGGAGGTGCTCTCGGCACCTATCAACCTGCACATCGAGGCCACGCCACACATCATCAGTCCTATGCGTGACCTGCAATGTCAGGACAGATCGATCACTAGGCCCTGGATCCACTGACAACTCCATGCCTACCCAAATTCAACATTTCATAGACATAAAACATACTACCTCCGTTCTTAAATAAATGCAACACTTTGACTTTTACACTATTCACATGTTCTACTTTGACTACGTTTTATTTATTAATGTAATAATATTATTTTATGAAAAAAATATTGTTAAACTTGTCTCATTGTAAATTTTCATAATCTAATTTTTTTAATTTTTTTACTAATACAAAAATCATTTATATTAATGGTCAAAGTTGTGTCTCGGCAAGTGTGAAATGTTGACTGTTGCATTTATTTAAGAACGGAGGAAGTATTTATAATCTTTCATATTTAAGAAAAATCTCATTGCATATACCACACTTAACATTCATTTCACCTTTTTCTTACACAACCACAACCATACATTTCCACTTTCTTAATCTCCGTGCCAAATCAAAGTGGGAAGAATTTTATGGGACAGAGGTAGTATAATTTTCTACGTATAAATTTACAAAAAATAGCATACTTCTACGTACTTGTTATTAGCATATGTTAAATTCAGACACCTTTTCTTTTCCTTAAATACGGAGTATTTAGTAAAACTTCAGTAAGCTCTCATCATTTGAGAGCAGTCTTTTGAGAAAGGAAGCTCTCCCGGCCCATTTTGTTACTCCTGGAATGGGTGTGTAAATAATATTGTAAATGACATAACTTTCAAAAAAAGAAAAAGATCATATTTATTCATATTAAGGGAGTGTTTGATAGAAGGAAGCTCTCCCATTTTTTACTCAATTATATCAATGAAGTGTTTTGATACTTGATCATGAGTTAAACATGTCTAGTACATTTACAATACAAGATGTACGTCTTTGTTTGAACCCAGTATTACCAAATACCAACGAATTGAGTTCTAAGTTTAACCTATTGAGATTAGACAAGAGTTTGACCAAATATCTAAACTTGGTTTAGACTTTAGAGCCCGATTGATAACTCTGTTTTTTCGGATTATCAAGCTTATCAGCTAACTTTTTAATCAAACACTTAACTTTTGATTTCACGCGCTAAATTGTGTAATACAAATAATAAGAAAAAGTAAGGTTGAAGTTACTTTTCTGAGTGTATTGACTCAAGTTATTGTAGATGATCATTTTACTTTTTTTCATATAATTTTTTCATGATTTTATTAACAAAATAGGGAAAATGGAAACTAATAATCCAACCTTTTAGCGGTCTTCTTAAAATAGTCACACCTTTTGATTATTCAAGAATAGTCCAACCTTTGCATCTCATCTTCATTCAATGGTCCTTGATCGGTTGATGATCCGCTTTTTCAAGTTATTTTCTTATCTTTGCAATATATTATACCATAAATCTCACCTTATGGTATTGGTCACATAATGTTTTGCAAAGATAAGAAAATAACTTGTAATAGCAGATCATCAACCGGTCAGAGACCATTGAATGAAGATGAGGTTCAAAGGTTGGATTATTCCTGAATAATCAAAAGGTGAGACTATTTTTAGAAGACTGCTAAATGTTGGATTAGTAGTTTCCATTTTCCCAACAAAATATTATTTTAAATATTTTTCCCCCAATAAATTAGAAGAATCAGTTATTACATCTACTTCAGTCAGAACTACATAAATTTCAATAGAATCAACAGAATAGTTGATTTCACAATTACCAAACGGGCTCGTATTGAAATTGGAAAACAATGTTTGACCAAACATCTAAAATTGATTTCCCCTCATTAAATTAATACGGAGTAGTTGCAAACATGAAATAAGGAAAGGGGAGATGAGTCATATAAAAATATTATAAATTGATTATCTAAAAATTACAAGTACCAATCTTATCAAAACTACAAAATTCTATATAGCTATAGAGGATTTAGAGAGGAGATTTTTTTTTTTGAAAATAGAGAGGAGATATTTAAAAAATCCACAAATAAAAATCTCAACCCAATTGACTTTTAATTTTTTTGTTTCAATCAATTATGGATTTATGGGTGCTGTCCTGCACAGAAGACACCGGTTTCTCTGCAGCCATTTGATAATGCATTTAGCGTCGAAATTGTGGGGAATGAAGTCGTCCAAACACATACGACAAATCTCACTCTCTCTTCTGGCAACTGCTGCCCGCGAAGGCGGGGAAACGGCGGCCGGGAAAGATGGCGCATCTATAAAGCCGGTGGAAACCAGAACGCCGTCTACAAACAAATCATACTGACGTTGACGGCGCGGCGGCGGTAATTGTGACCTCCTATCCCGCGGGGCATAAGCTGTCTCAATCCCAGACCTCCTTCCGGCCGGGAAGTATGGCGCATCAGCAGCATTACGAATCAGGCCGCCATCAAGAAAAGGAGGGTCTTGCTGCGGCGGTAGCTGTGACCTCCTTTTAGCCGGAAAAGATGGCACATCCTCAAAAGTGGTGGGAACCAGAAGGCCGTCCAAAAACAGAGCATCCTGCTGCTGCTGCTGCGGCTGACATGACAGTAGATGTGACCTCTCTCTGGCCGGCAAATATGGAGCGGCGGCGGCCGAGAGGTGTGGCGCACGGGTTATGCGGAGTGCGGAGGGAAGAGGAGAAGCTCTCATGGTGGCCATTCTGATATCTTGAATTATATGCAGTTCTTCAAATACTACTATTTGATTGGCCATTATATAGAGAGTCTTAACAATCCCAAACCTTTTACAAATCTATTTCCTCAAACCAAAATCTTTTTCAAACAATATTTCCTAATTCCGATACTCTCATACTCTGTATACAACTATACAATACGGAGTATTTCCTATTTCCTAATTCCAAAATCTTTTCTGGTTTCCTATAGTTTTTTTTATACTAGTATTTATTTCGGATGCACGTGACACAAACAAATTTACGCTATTATTTTGTGATATTTTTTTAAATATTGTTCAATTCATCTCATTACAAATTTTCAAAATCTGTTTTTTAATAATTTTTTTACTAATAGAATTAAGATATAATTATGGTCAAAAATGTGCGTTGACAAATGTGAAATATTGACCGTTGCAACTAAAAAAGAACGGAGGGAGTATATTGTTCTATATAATAAAACTGAATTAAATAATATACTTGTATCACTTTTGTCAATATATATATATATTTAGGATCAAATAAGAACAATGTTTAACGTGAGAACGTGAGAACGTCACATTTACCTCAACGTGTTGCACATTGAAGCTTGTATATTGCACATTTTCACATTTTCACCATATTTACCAAAATGCCACCGTGTTTATTTAATATAGGCTTAATTCGAGCAAATTGAAAATGTGCAATAGAATAGCTCCATTGTGCACCACATTGATTTGAATGTGATCGTTCTCACGTTCTCACGTTAAGCATCGTTCTCACTGGAACCGCACCATATATATATATATATATCACTTTTGTGTGTACACTCTAATTTTTATAAAAAATATATCAAAATTTATATTTTTTTATGATCTTTCATATCACCCCAATATTGCATATATAAAAACAAAAAATATTATAGGTTGTTTTGTACACTAAAAATGAATTAGAATTCTATTTCTTAATAAAAAAATCTATAAGTTTCCTTCACTAGAGAGAGGACCGACTATGGGGAAACCCTAGCCGCCGCCTTCTTTTCTCTTCTTCGTCTCTTCAATCATTTTTCTGATTCAATAATGAACTAACACGTATTTTCAATTTTATCTATATGTTTCGTTCCTAGCATTGTCTACATTATTTCCGGTGGCGAAGTGTCGTCTGCCAGATATTTATTCCCAGTCATTTTTTAGTCGGGCGTTTTTGTGTGTTAATAAGAGGTTTGCATTGATCTCGTCATCAATTGGAAATATGATTTTCTTCTGCGGCAATATTGAGACGGGGCGTCCCCTCCAGAACCGCCGTTGTTCCAGGAAGATGGGATCACATGGAGTGCTTTCTTTCCGGTGGCTGGTCAAATCGGTTCAAATTCTACGCTTGGCTCCTTACCGGTGGCTGGACAAACTTGGATGTTCAATAATTTGTTTGAAAAATATTGTGATCGTAGCAGGAGCAGTCCTTCTGCAGGTAGAGTCTAATTCTTTGCGGGATTAGCGATTCGGCATTTTCAATTTGAATCGTCCGTTTCGATTTCTCATCCCATTGAAGCCTTGAGCTATATGATTGTAATTGTTCTTGCTATCTTTATCAATAATAATTAAGTTATTTCCTTTCAAAAAAAAAAATCTATTATCACTCCTACAAAAACATTTAATTCATTTAAGGTAATGAAAGGGAAGAAGAAAAAATTTCTTTTTAAAATGTGCTATGATGACCTTTTTAACTCTAATATTTAGAAGAAATGCATCCAAATTCATAAATTTTATGATCTTTCATATAACACCAATATTGCATACATATAAATATATAAAAAATATAATCTATTGTTTTATATAGTAAAATTGAGTTATAAATCAATAATGTATCGATCTATTATTTGTTACTAAAAATTCTAATTATCACTCTAAATAAAACATTTCATTATTTCTCGCAAGTTCAAAGTGCATTAGCTTTTGTTAATATCACCTTGCATTAGTTATTCACCTTCATTAGACCAACTCATTTAGAGAAAAGAGAGCAAAAAATCTCTTATTTTTAAAGTGTTATAACTTTTTTATATATACTCCATTTTTTATAAAAAAAATATATCAAAATTCATAACTTTTTATGATCTTTCATATGACATCAATATTGCATATGTAAAAAAATTAAAGATCAAGTTGGTGGAGATTTTCAGGCCTAGAACTTCTTTTGTCAATAAAGCCCAAAACATTTTTAAGTAAGTTCAAAACCTAAAATTATGATTTCATAATTAATGTTTACATTTTAAAGTTTTTTCTAAATGTCTAGAACGCCGGATTTCTTATTATCTATTGTTAATCGATATAGTTAACTTGAGTTATGAAATGCTATGTGTGACTCTCTTATTGACATCACATAATACATGTTAACATTACTTTTAGAATAATTGTTTAACTCATTAAATGATGCAAATGCTAATACAGTATAAAAAATAATTCATAATTTTATATTACATCATTTAATCAATTCGTAACATCCACATAATATGCTTAATTATTGATCCAATATGACCTCAATGGGGTTATATTGGATCGTATAAGGGCATCAACACTATCTATTTCTTATTTCATTCGAGCGTAGATTTAAATTACACCGCATCAGCGGCCATACGCATCGCAAAGGCTGCGGTAGCCGCAACCGTAGTAATCGCAATTGCAACGCTACCGTGGTAAAAAACCTTGATATGGACTAAAGAGTATTAATATATAATATATGATGATGGATAAATTTACATATAGTCATTTAACAAATACAAATTTATTATTGGTTGTGGTTAGATCAGATCATAGTAAAAATGCATTGTATTCAATTTTGGATCTTATGAATAATTCACAATATCTATTAGTATATATATTTTCAAATTGATGCGCTACCGGGGAATTGCCCCGGGTTCTACACTAGTTTTCTTTAATTCGGAAGTTCTCCGTATTTGACTATTTCTGTATATACCCTTGTACGCTCCCTTCAACAAGCTAAGTTCAGGGTACAAGTCCAAGTACCAATTTCTACTTAAATTAACACTTAAAAGCTAAAAACTACAAATTGTTTTTTATTTTTTCTATTACACAAAAAGAACATATTTTATAAAACACTACCAACTAAAAGTAACATAGAGAATGAATACTTGTCAGATGGTCTAAACAAGGATTCAGTGGGAGAATTAAGTTGAAGAATGTCTCTAGGAGGATATCCTTGAGCTAGTGGGAATAATATATGAAGCGCTTCGCACCAGCAAGTTATTCTTATTAAGCAAGAAAGAAATGGTATGGTTGTCATTCCTTCTGCACTTAACTCCCCCTCTCTGAGTATAGCACTAGAAACCCCCCCGAGCATTGGACAGTCCAATGAAGGAGAACTTATTAACAATCAGAATGAACAACCTGAACAAACGCAAAATATTCAACTCTGTAGGTCTACTAGGATTCATCATGAATCAACTAGGTTTGGCTTCCTCATGGAGGATCACGATGATGTTGAAATTCCCGACAAGGATGAACCTGAGACCTACACTGAAACAATATTAGATTTTGATTCAGAGTGGTGGCGAGAAGCCATGAAAAACTGAAATGGGCTTGATGTGTATCAATCAATTATGGAACTTGGTTGACTTGCCTGTTGGGGTTAGACCCATTGGATGCAAATGGATTTTCAAGAAGAAAATTGATGTTGAAGGCAAGGTGCAAACATATAAAGCTTGGCAAGTGGCTAAAGGTTATAGTCAAAGAGAAGGAATTGACTATAGTGATACCTATTCGTCAGTTGCAAAACTCAAGTTCATTTGGATTTTGCTTGGGATAGTTGCATACTATGATTATGAGATTTGATAAATGGATGTGATAACCCCTTTCCTTAATGGAAACGTCAAGGAGGAGGTGTACATGGTATAACCTGAAGATTTTGTATCCAAGTCAAATTCTAAATCCATATATTAATTGGAGAAATTGATTTATGAGCTAGAGCAAGCATCTATGAGTTGAAATATCAATTTTGATGAAATATTCAAATCGTTTGTCTCCATCAGAAGAAACGAGGATGCTTGCGTGTTTAGAGTGCGCAACAAGGATAGTGTGGTCTTTTTAATCATATATGTTGATCATAGAGATGATATCCCCTCATTGGAGTCCGTGAAAGAATGGTTACCCAAAATCTTTATGAATATCTTGTTGTCCAAGGTGGACATAAAGAACTAGTAGAATTTAAGTATTCTAATACTAGCTTCATGTATGATAAGGAAGACTACGAGTCACAATCAATATATGTTTTCAACCTCAATAGAACAATGGTGTTGAAAGAGTTGCAAGTAAGAGACTACTATGAATTCGACACTAATGCCTAGTAATAGTTGCAGTTGATGCAACTCAGGTAAACGTTTAGATACGTGAGTTTCTCAAAAAAATAGGGATAGTTCCTAGCAACAGTTATCCGATAATTGTTATTGTGACTATATTGGTGTATTTGCACAAGCTAAGGAACCAATATGGAAAGAAAAGAACTAGAAAATACATGTATGCTATCATGTTTTGATAACAAATAGCATGAGGAGAAGTTGCGAGAGAACGGTTCCCGTAGAGGACAACTTGGTTAGGCCTTTCACCAAATCTTTGAGATACGAGAAACACACTAAACTTTTGAGAGTGTAGGTGTAAGACACATCGGTGATTGACACTAGATTAAGTGGGAGATTGTTAGTATGTGTGTCCTAGCGACAATCACTTCTTAGAGATATATGTACTTGATCACATTCAATTTTATATATTTGATATATACAGTATTACACATTGATGATTAAGTATTTCGATTGTCATTGTCTTATTCATAATTAAGAGACCAGTTTTTCAGATTCAGAATTACCATTTTATTTCCCTGCCAAGAGGTTTCCTATTCTTTCTCATTGGGAGTCCAAAATCTAATATGTTGTTTTCAAGTGCGGGACAAATACTTTAACAGATGTGACCTCCAGTCCCACGGGGCATCAGTAATCGTCTCAATCGCAGAGGACCCGGACCTCCCTCTGGCAAGAAAATACGGGGCGGCGGCGGCCGTGATGTGTGGAGAAGCTCTCATGGTAAGAGTGGTGGCCATTTTAATCGATTTTCTGAATTGATCACAGTTCATGGATTGAGTATTATATATATAGTGAGAGAGCGCAAAGTCCTAAAGGTTGGTTTCCTAGAATCTCAAGTGTTTCCTAATCTTAACAACCCCAAACTTTTTCCAAATCTATTTCGTCAACCCAAACGTGCTTTGCATTCCGAAAGAAAAAAGACTCCGTATTTTATTTAATTTGTAAGTATTTGACTATTTTCCGCATGTACCATATTGATGACTCAAATTTTTAGGCAAAGTTGATATGAATGGTCCATATTTGTATAGATGGTCCAACATAGAATGGACGGTCATCCAATCCTCGAGATCCACTGGACTGTTTGTCGATTGTTCAATAGTTCCATCAATGAAACTCAATTTCCGTTTTGTACGGAAAGCGTTTTTTATCGCCATCGGCCACTCCCTATAGTTATTCTCACCCTTGAAAATAACTTCGCAAATGTTTAATCTGGAAAAATCCGAATTGGACAGAAAATATGGGGAAGATGGGTCATTGATTTTTCGTCGTTCATGGTGGAGATGATCATGATTTTCGTCACCACCGCTTCCTGCTGCATTGCCGATCATGTTGCCGTTGAGAGATACGTAAATAGGTTATAACAATATCAGTGCTCTGATACCATGTAGAAAAATAATTATGAGAATGAATTTTGTATTGATATTCACGCGGCCATCCAAATTGAGATGCCATCCCTGTATACAGAGCTACGTAACTAATTTACGATTTACTTGTGCGCACTAGCTACTGACTAGGAGAAATATTTTTTTGGAGATGATAATTGTACACAGCAACCTAGTCCTAATCAAATACTCCCTCCGATCCCAAATGAAATTTACACTTTCTTTTTTGAGTATGTCCAAAATAAACTTCACACTTCTCCCCCCTTCCTTATTTGGCAAATTATCTACATCAAAACAGTGCAAAACAGTGTCAAACAGTGTCAAACAGTGTCACAACAGTGTACTCTACAGTAAAGTCAAAATTTTTTCCTTAATTTGTGTGAAGTCAAAGTGTGAATTTTATTTGGGACCGGAGGGAGTATAGCTGTTGCGACAAAACTTATCTCTTGGCATATGTAGTGGCTATTATATAGAGCCCCAAGTACTAAAGTGGGTTTCCTAGTTTCCTAGAATCTCATTCCTAGTCCTACTCCTAACAATCTGAAATTGTTTCCTAATCTATTTCATCTACCCTAAATGTTTAGTTAATTTGCATAAATAAGTGATATTTTTATTACCGATGCACTTGGCACACCACAAACTTGCTTCCCGACCCAACATATATTTTCTTTGATTTGGTGTACATTGCCTAATTTAACTAGTACTCAATATATTTCTTCACAAAATTAAGAATGTTGTTAAATTACAATATTTTTTTATAATTTATTTAACCAACTTTTCATTTGAATTATAAATTGATATTTTGTGAACATAATTTATATTTCATGAAGAATATACTTACAAGATTGTATGAAACAGTTCCACCCGAAACCACCTCAAATGGAGGCGGCCGCACGACGGGTTCTGATCAAGCGGACAAATGAAGTTAACTCAAAAAATACAAAGTTAACTTTATATACGGAATTGTCCTATTTAATTTGAAACTTCTATCGTATATAGTACATCCTCAGTTAGTTTTAATAAATTGACATAACTTAATATACTCCGTCACATTAGATTTTGCCAACTTTATCGTTTTGATTGTCCAAAAAACTTTGACATTCTCCTATTAAAGTAATTAATTTGTGCTTCAGCTCATTTCTCTCACACACAAATCTCAATCACATAATTTTTAATTTTCTTATTTCTCACCTAATTTTAAGTGCGCAAAGCTCATTGGGATGAAGGTAATGTTGAATTTTGTCTTATACTCCCTCTTTCCAACTATAATTGTCATGTTTTTCTTTTTCCATCCGTTCCACTAAATTTGCCTCATATCATACTCCATATTTGATAATATTTGTGTGGATCTAATTCATTTTTACTTTGTTGAAGTCCTACATCGGAAATCAATAAATTAATAACGTGCTATAATAAGATCTGAGCTACTCCTTCTATCAGGTTGAATTTTTAGGATGGAACCCCCCATGTCCTAACATGGTATTAGAGCCAAACCGATCCATAAGATCATAACCATGGTGTGTGCCCTTTTCTGAAAAATGCTGACACGATTATAAAAATGACAATGACGAACCGACGAAAAAATGAATGACGACTCGATCCAGATGAAGTTTCTGGTCGTGATGAGGGGTGTTGAGATCCCAGACTGGAAATCTATAAATAATAAAGTGCTATATTAAGATCTGAGTTACTTCTTCTATCGGATTGATCTTTTAGGACAGTACCCTGGATCTTAACATACTTTATCCACGCTTTATTAATTCATTATCACTTGCATAAATCTACTTTTTTGAAAAGCCGCATCACTCTTCTTCGTTCCAATGTTAAATGACTATTCATAACCACTCATTAAATAAATAATTAAATATTTCATTTGTAGATATCTCTTTTGCCCTCTAGAAAAAATAATCCTATCAATGTCTTTGATCTGGATTGCGACTATGATGAAGACTTGATGCCGCTGTAGTTGGAAGAGACGGTAGATGCGATCCACCCCCCTCCTGAACCTCTGTCATGGATTTCAATTTTGAAGGGAGATCACAAGACAAACTACTTTTATTGCTTTTACTTGATTTTCTTTAAGAACTTTTATTATGCTATTGTTGTGGACAGTAGCTTTAGGTGTTTTAGTTTTGGGCTAGTTTCTATGATGATTGTTTAGGTGGAAGCGATAAGGCTTGTGTGACCGGAAAAAATTTCGAAGTTCTCACATGTTTAGCGATTAGTCCAGATCAGACCAACAAATTACGGTACAAGTAAAAACATCCTTAAAGCAGATTTGAATTGTGGCAGCGATGGTGCGCGTGCATTGGGTTATGATATACGGAGTATTTACTAAGGATAAATTAGACATTTGAAATACTTTTAATTATTAAAATTTAATTAGATGGGCTTTAAATAGCAATTTTGTGATTGTTCCCCTTTTTTGTGGTGCATTTGACATTTTTCATAATACTACGTACGTTTAAGGCCTTTTTTCTCGACATTGGCCCGACCCATAGATATCATGACCGGTCTCTGACCCCTCCTATGACTTGGGCTGTCACTCAGTTGCAATTAGAGATGACAATTGTGACCGATCCGATAGATACCCGCACCGAATCGTCCCGGTCAAAACGGGGAAAAACGCATTGACCGTGTAACGTGTACGGAGCGGGGAATACTCGTTTTGTTTTTACGGGTAACGGAGTGGTTACGGTTTTATACATATCTGCCCCATTACCCACCCGTACCTGCCCCGTTTATTTTTAGTTATATTTTTATTACATTCTTTTCTATTATTTGTCCCACAACTAATAAAAGATGAGATTTTTCTATTTTTATTGCGTATATATGGATAATAGATGTACTAACTATAGTGTATGAATGAAAATTCATAATAGATCTTAATAGTCTTGTTTGTTTATTATCATATTTATTGGTGATAAATTATTATTCAGATTAAGTATTTTTAGGTTCAAATTAATTTAGATTGTCTTCTTCTTTTTCTTGTAGATATACACAACTTTAAAGTGACGTTTAAGTCTATAATTGTCTAGGTAATACCATTTTTCATCTTTTAAAATATTATTTTTATATTAAAATACTCATTCAATAAAGCCATTATCCCAATTAAAATTGGGACGGGTACACTTATACCTAAAACCGTCCATAATTGCAATGCTAGATCCGAGCTGATCACCTGAGAAGTGCCTCTCCGGGCTATACTCTACCGTCGTCTCAAATTTGCAGTAGTCTCAGTGATTCAACCTTTTCTTAAAATAGAACAATTTAAAAAAAATCATAAACCTGGATTGTCAAGAGTTTTCGTAAACGGGGGTTTGTCGATTCAACCTTTTCTTATAATTCATTGCAGGTTTAGTCAGAGCCGATACACGAGGTTGTGCGGGAGAAAATCCATGGGGAAGGAGGTTTACAGAAACCTTGTGAAAGCAGTGAAGAAACACATCGGAAAGGAAGAGCACAAAGCCCATTTCACCGACTTTATAAGAGAGGAGTTCAGGAAGAGCATCAATACCGAAGCTGCTGCTACTGCTGCTAAGAAGGGTCTCTCCAAGACTCATCAAGAGGATAGGTTAAAGCTTGCCAAAGATTACACCTTCCTCCTCAATAGTGTTCACCATCAAAAGGTCATTTCTTGTATCTTTATACAGAAGCCAACAACTCTGCAATTACTTGGCCGCTTCATGCCTTCATTCTTTATGTTAGATAGTCTTTGATGCTAATTTTTCAATATAATCTGCCATAAGAGGTGATAAGTTGCCTGAATAAGCTTAGTTAATGCTTCACAGCTTTTGTATATCAACTAAAACATAGAGGTTGTACAAAGGTCATATTTCATATGCTACAATTCATTAGAACTGAATGGAGAAATGAGCTCAAATTTACCTGTCATTGACTTGAGGTTTTGAAGTAAGAAGGCTCTCGTTGGCCCTGAAAGTTAAATGCTTTTTTGGAATTTCAAAAGTAGGCATGTGACTCTCGTGTATGATAACGGCTTTGGTGTAAGAAAAGTTTTTTTTTTCCGCCGAGTTACTTGCCTAGTAGGAATCTAATCAAATGAACATAAATAACAAAAACCCTCGAGTCAGCAGTTCAAAGAAGCTCGGTTGAGTTAAATGTAGTTCATTATTTGGGATGCTTGGAGTTTTGGCTATCTGTCCTTCAATATTGAGTGCTTCCTCATGTCTATACAGTTTTTTGTGTATTTTTATCTGGTTCCTAGTTCTGCAATCGTTGATAGATCTTTGAGAGATTAAACAAAGAAATATTAATTGGAACACTAGTGTTTAGGAGCCTATGTCATCGCCTTGTTTGGCTTATTCTAGTAGGATGAGTTGATACAGATTTCATCAAGTGCTTTTGGTTTATTTATTTAGATTGAATGGATTTTACCAAATGCTTTCCCTTACAAATAATTCACTAGAGTCAGCTGTTTTCTCCAAACGACCATTACCAATAAGGCTTTAAGCATTTAATCTATTTTTAGACTACCAATGTAAAAACACTAGCAATTGGTTTCATTTACTGCACCTTTTCGCATTTACTTATTGTTTACGTTGAGAAAATGACTATGGGATGGAGTCATGGGGAGATATTTGGGATAGGGTTGTGCTTAATCACGGCTTATGGGGAGCAGTAGGCTGCGTTTCACTGTCCACCATTGAGCCTGTGACGACTGACTTGCAACTAGAACCGTGAGCATAGGTGTGCTGAACATGGAAAATACCATGCACTTGTCACAATCCTAGTGTCACGCTGTCACCTCATCACTAATAGCACAATCTTCAAAAGCCTTTGATCCAAAATTTTGACCATATTTTTCATGTCTATAGCCTTGTCATAACATAAAACCGCAAAAGCAGTAAGATGTTATTATAACATTTTGTCATCATCATCATTAGTCATTACCCCAATGCCGCAAAGACTCCCACCTACAGTGGGGGTAAGGGGGTCGGATGTACGCAGCCTTACCCCTGTACTAAAGCACAGAGAGACTATTTCCAGATGATCCATAGTGAAAATCGCGTCAAAAATTGATGATAAAGTTTTTCCATTATTGTGCTAATATGCTGCTTCGGTTGGACAGGACTTGCTCTTTTCTTATAATATCGCAGTCGATAGGTCTGATGAGATGAAAAAAGTTTTGAGAAAATCTGCTGCCAGCGTGGGACTCCAACTTCCTGAAGCTTATCAGCCATGACAGATAGTAAGCACCTCGGTCAACTTACTGCACTTCTTATTACTATACCACGAGAAAATGAGTTGTCATTCTCAATTTCTCATCACCAATGTTATCGAAACTGGATCAGACCGGTCAGGTTCGTGCATAGAACTGGCGCAACACGGTCAACAACTGGTTAAGAACCCCTGAACCGACCAGAGATATTGTAATATCCCGTTTAAGATATTATATTAAGAGAATTAAGTTTAATTTGGAAAATTCTTTGAATTGCATCATTTGCATGTTGGTTTGGGAATTAATAATTTTTATTACCTCCGTATTCAAATAGTTTGATATCTTGAACTACATTATTAGAAAGCTCTTTATATAAAAGAGTCACGTTAAGGAAACGTACAATGGTAAAACTTATCATTTTTAGTCAACTCAATCAAGGTACAAGCTTTAGAGGAATTTTGCTTAAAAAATTATAAATGGCTTTAAAACCAGACTTGTTTTGGGATAAAAAGAGTTTTAATTTTGGGAACTAATTTCCAATCGGTTGCCACATCTAACCTTCAGTGAACCATCAAACCATAACCAGGACCTCAGACCTTCACCGCTGGTACAATGGCTAGTCCGGTTCTCTAACCTCGCCCATCTCTCTTCTCCAATGTTTCTCAAAAGATGCTTCATTCAATTCTTTAATTTTATTTCATCTAAGGGGTAGTTGTTTTAACGTTTTCTCTCCCTGGGGTTGATTTAGTGTTTTAGATTCTGGAGAAGAAATATTGACTGACATGCCTGTTAATGGTGGAAGCAGCCACTCAAAAACTGGATGCGGCATTCATCATCTTTTGCAGAATTTCAGAGGCCATCTTCTTAAGTTAAGTCGAGAAAAATCATGTTGATTTCCCCCGTTGTTAAGATCACATTTAGATTCATATTTTGATTCCGATTAGATAGAAATGTTGTCAGTAATACAATAAAATAAGATTGTAACAAATGTAACAGTGTAACACTATTAACTGCATTTGGATTTAATGTTTAATTAATGATGAATACATTCATCATTAATTATTGATGAATGAATTTACATTCAAGGCATAGAATAAAGCAAGTCCTTTTCTACGCTACCAATACATAAATTGCATATATAATGCCTGGTAGGTATCCCAGAAAAGTTAATATTAAGTCTATCCAGAATTCCACCTGCAAAATTAATACCAAATCTCTTTATGGAATTGCAAAAGAAAACATAAAACAATTCAAACTATTTAATTAGATAAAACTCTCATCCTCATGATTTCATTATGAGATTCACCAAAACACATTATTTGTCAATATATATATATTTATAAATCAAGATTGCCTACATCATAAATTAATACAGTATATCGCCAAAAATCATCAACATCAATTCATTATTATTCTTAGTATTGTATTTTAAGAAGGAAATAGGGTTAGAGGAAGAACATACTCCACAACCAAAGCGAATGAAGACACCCACTGGAGGTAGAAAAATTGCAAGTATGACTTCAAGAAATGTTGATGAACCCATTATTCTTCTATTCTCTCCCTCTCTCTGGATGAACACCTTCTATAGTTCAATTCTATAAGAAAATACTCAAAAAATGTAGTTTTTCTGCAAATTTTTGTTTTACTATAACTAAGGGATGTGTTCTCCTTATATTTCTGAGAAATTTAGGGGGACACACACATCTTATGAGTTAGTAAGTAGTTTTTCTGTAGAGCCATGGGATTCGACACGTGGCAGTTGTACAATTTTTTAGGATTGGAAGATGATATGTTTTTGTGCCTTTTGACCAAGTCTTATTCTCAATAAAATCAGGAGTCTTTCAATGGCATGCAATAATAACTAATATTGGCGATTTGGTATCACGTGACGATACCAGGTTACCAAACTAAAGTTCATGTTTTTGAATATCAGTCTCATACTCCACAGTTATTACAACCCTCCATCCTAGCTCACATCCCTCCTTTATTTTTCTTTTCTGGATATTCAAACTAAACATTCTCATTTCTATTTTGAAAAATAATTAACACTCTTAGATAAAGTATTTAATTTAATTTAAAATAATAGAACTATAACAACTCTATATAGCTATACAGTTAAGTGAATGTTTCCACTAAATCTATTAAATTCAAAGTAACTAACAGGCCCTAAGAAGTGCCGGTAGTGTATGTTTGAGGGCCTAGGGGCGAAAAAATAAAATGGGTTTAATTTTTCAAAAAATTGTAACTCTTTTCTATCTATAATAACAAGCATAACAATAATAATAATAATTCAAGGCATTTATAAAAAATTGTAAAATTCTCTTCTGTATAAACCAAAAATATTATTGGTGGTCCTTATTTGGAAAGAAAAAATGGTTGTTCTATTTGTGCAATTTACCAATAATTTAATCTTATTTAAGAAAATAACTCCATTATTATCAATTCCTAAATCCCCCTCCAATAATGCGATCATTCTTAAAATTATTTCTTCACTGAGGTCTCATCTTTAGGAGGACGTTCATAATTTGACTTCTTTAAACAAACTTTTCTATTGAGCATTTTTTACTTAGCAACGTTCTCTCTAATTTTCTCCTCTTTTTACTTTATCCTATCCAGATCAATTAGTTTTAGTACATCTTGAAATTAATTAAATTTATAAATTCAATTATAATAGAAATAATTTGTCTAACAAAATCAACAAATTATAACACTGACACTAAATAGGTAGCAATCAACAATTAAAAAATCAATCAACTATGAATGAAATATTGAAATCAATGAATAAACTAATCAAATAATCACATCGGACTAATTTTCTTCCAAGTGCAATTTTTTAATGAAACTTGGTGAACATATTTTTCATCAAGTTTAGATTATATCCACAAAAATTCATCTTAAAATTCAATGGGGAAGTCAGTTAAATAAATTATTGCAACACTGCGCCAAAATATGTATAAAAACACAATGTTTTAGAATAATTTAGTTTACTGACTTCTAGATTGAATTTTACATTGAAATTTTGTAAAGATAATCTACACTTCATAGAGAAAATGCTCATAAATTTTCATAAAAAAATCCACCTAGAAGTACCTCAAACAACTCCGCTCGAAATATTTTTAGTTTAGGGCTGAACACTCGGCCTACTCACACATATTATGAAAAACTAAGCCTGTGCCTAGAATTCTTTCATATTTTATTGGTCCTAGGGCCGCCCCTGGCCCTAAGTAGCCTAACATTTCTTGGAAATGTTAAATCCTGCGGAGAATGAACCCTATAAGTTGATTTTTAATAAGTAAATCCCTTATATTAATATAATAGAAATCACAATCCTTACATCTAAGCCACCACTCAACCCTTCCTCTCTCCTATTATATATTATACTAGACGAAGTACCCGTGCGATGCACGGGGTATATCTAGAATTGGATAATATCTTATTTAAAATTATGTTTTATCATGGTACATTATGTGTTAATTTTGACAAATAAAAAAAATAGAGTTTATATGTTGTAACTTTTATTATATACATAGTCGTAGTAGTAGGAAAATTTGTACCGTATGAAAAACTGAAAAGAAAATTAAAATAAATGATAATGTCTAACAATAAGTTCTACGTGAAAAATCAATGAGCTCTATGTCTCATTAAAATTTATAAGATAGAGCAACGGTCATATATGTTGACAATGAAAAAAAGTTTCACAAATTTTGAAAAACTTCTTTATATACCACATTATTCGTGGTGTTTATAGCGCGACCCTCATCATCACATATAAGAATCTTCAACCTACTCCTTGAGGTAACCCTTGACACGGCCACGTACAATTGACCGTGCGTAAAGATAGACTTTGGAAGATATATGTCCACTTGATCCAATAATTGTCCTTGACTTTTGTTTATCGTCATGGCAAATGAAACAATTATCGGAAATTGCCTGCGCTGAAATTTGAAAGGAATTCTGCTATCTGACGGGACCAATGATAGTCGTGGAATCAAAACCTTTTGACCAATACTTTTTCCGGTTATAACCTTCACCTCCAAAACAAATTTACCTAACTGAGTAATAATCAGGCGAGTTCCGTTGCATAAGCCAGAGGACTGATCAATGTTTCTCATTAACATAATAGGAACACCAACCTTTAGTCCCAATTTATGGTTCGGTATTCCTAATGTATTGATGGTGTTCAAAAACTCTTGAGTGTGCATTTCATCAGATTCAGCGCCAATGTTTCCTACAAGCGAGCATGGGCTGTCAAAACTCAAATATGTCCTCATTTCTCCAGGCATCAATGAAATCATATAATTATTTATAAGCTCTACAACATCATTTGTGGGTGTCAAAATAGCTCTTTGCTGAAAATATGATGGATCAGCCATATGTTCCAGAAATGACGGATAAGTGCTAGCAACTATTGATGCAATAGGATCACCTGAGGTGGTAATAAGCATATCATCAGGTATATCAATGATGACCTCTCCATCTTTGACAGTCCCAATATTTCCATCTCCTATTTTAAGCACCAAATCTGAGAACCTTTTCAATTCCTCAACATTATAATGCGAAGAACCACACTACAGCCTCATGTTTTTTGTTAAAGTGAGAACTTGACAATGTAAGGTGATACATGACTGATAATACCACTCACCACCACCAAACTCAATAACTGTTGCGAGAACAAATGGACAACAATTCTGCAAATCAAGTAAACAACATCACAAAAAGTAAGGTTAGCCATTCTCAACTATATTTGTCAACTTGAATGTACTATTTTCAATGTTTTCTTATTTTATTTACCTCTGTAGAATCTATCAAGTCAGAAATAGTCATGTGAGGGTTCTGCATTAGATCTTCCTTGAAAGTGCGTGTACCCTGATCTGACATGCTACTCACAACTTGACTCACTGAGCGACCCTCAGATGCTAGCCTATTGTGCCCAACCCGAGATAAAGTATATGTTATATAGATAAGTTAAGTGCTTATAAGTTATATAGAAGATAAAAAGTTTGTCACATTTCAATTTTCATATCATCCTGAAAATTAATAGAAGGTCAACCTGTTCCTTTCAGTTTTCGTATAAAATATACAGATTTTTTTCTACTTTAACATTCCATGCAGTTTTAAGGTTTTGAAAAATGATTTTCGTTTTCCATCATAATGATTTTTGAAAAACTGTAAAAAATGTTTACTCAAAAGTTGTTTACTCATTAGTTTTACATACATGGACTATGCTTTAATATCATATAAGTATATCTTTAAAATACTTAAGATTGTATATTTTACTTCCCTCCCATTAGAAGTACAATTTTAAAGAATTCTCTAAGATTTTAAAAACTTTTTACACATCAAGTACAACATTAAAGAATAATCTCAGAATTTTAAAACTGTTCACACTGCACTTTTCACTTGACAAAGTGAAATCTGTAGCATTTAGTTTTTAAAAAGTCTTAGATTTTAAAAGTAAGAAGACTTCCCTCCCATTAGAAGTGCATTTTTAAAGAATTCTCTAAGATTTTAAAAACTGTTTACACATTAGAAGTACAATCTTATAGCATACTCCCAGAGCTTGACTTAAGGTCATAAAAACTGTTTACACTGCACTTTCACTTTTAAATTAAGAAAAACACAAATGGCATAATAGTTAAAGTATATGTTATATAGATAAGTTTATGTGATTATAAGTGAATGTCAACATGTTCCTTTAATGATGTTTTTTTTTTCATTTTTCATATAAAAAATACAGATTTTTTTCTACTTTAACCTTTCACGCAGTTTGAAAGTTTTAAAAAATGAGTTTAGTTTTCCTTAAAAATGATTTTGGAAAAAGTGTAAAAACAGTTTACTGATGAGTTTTATATACCTGGGCCATGCTTTAATGTCATTTAATCATGACTTTAAAATACTTTAAGATTGTACTTTACTTCCCTCCCAATAGAAGTTCAACTTTAAATCATTCTTTAAT